AACATAATGAGAACATGCCAAAAGAATACTGTGAAAAGTCATTTGAAAAATAAAGTTAACCTGATCAACAAAAACGAAAAAGCACTGCTTCATAGACAGCAACGGCACAAACATTGTACGCGTAATTTCCCTTTTTTTCTACTTCTGAATAAATGGAGACTAGCAACAGCCGGAGAAGAAGGAAAAGAGGGAAGAAAAATAGGATGGGGGTGGGGGGCAAACCAGGAGTTTTTATGTGAACGGAGCATGCACATGGTGATTATTCTTTAACCACGTGCTGCTGTGCATGTCATGGCTACAAAAAATGATAGATGTTTTTACATGACATAATAAGGAAAATCCAAGAATCCAGTTTAAAAAGAAAAACTAGGTTCCTTGGAAACATACTAATAAAAATTGTTTGTTTTAATTTCTTTAATTGCAGAACTGACATGCATTGCAGTGGCTACCTCCTACTTCCGGTAAACAACCTAAAGACAATCTTTGGAGGAACAGCTAGAAAAACCAGATCCCATCAGCTATAGCTAGCGCCACGCAGTCAGAGCTGAAGTCGTCAGCCTCACACAGAGCGCCACCACCCCTCCCCCACACCAGCAGTCGGCTCCAGTCTGGAGTTTTACAGCCAAGCATGGACCAAACCATTGCAACACACGGGGGACCTCCTTGTCGGGGGAGCGAGCTAGTGGGGTCAATGACAAATTCAAATCTCCCCAAATGTGGTGGTTAGACGTCCAGGACTCAGCTTATGTTAAAATTGAAAAAACACTGCTGCATACGTTCTCCTGACATGAGCCAAGTGGGTTTCACCATCAGTCAACAAGCTAGCTACTCGGCTCACTGCCCATCCCCCACTCCTTTCCCAGTGACAGATAGCTTGCAGTGAACCCAAAATGGCTGCTGCTGTGTACGCAGCAACAGCAGGAAACTCATCCTTTAATCATAAACACAGCTGACTTTGGCCCATACTGTATTACTCTGTTTGTTTTTAATACTGCTGCTTATCTCCCTGCTGTTTTGTTCTCTTGGGGTTTTTGATTTATTTTGATCAGCTAGGAGTGACAAACTGTACTCCTGCGTCTTGTACCGGCAATGTTAATTTCTATCAACTTATCTTACACCCCTGTGTATTATTGAATTGCCGTGTTCTGCATAACAATGAATATTTAGTTATTCAGAAAGTTATATAATAACAACTTCAATGTGACCTTAAATTCAAATAATTATCGGTTATCTGTGGCGGTCACGTAAAAAATTGTATCACGAATTAGCAACGCTACCATTGAAATTTGTATAATTGTTTCAAAAGTACCTTGATGCCCCAATCACACAGAGACGTGTCGCTACAGACCCAACGTTGGCCACATCCCTGGGTTCTTTGTCAGACGGCCATCAAAATTTCCATTTTTGGCAGCGCTACCCAACTCGCTTTGTCGAAGAAAGTTAGCATATGATTAGACATTTTTGAAGTGGCTTACAATAGCTATCTGAAAGCGGTGCTAATTTTTGTTCTGATTGAAAAAGTTCACCAAACCATTACCAATAACCATCAACAAAGTTCCAGAGAAGCACTTGCCAAATAAAGAAAACAATATGCCTGCAAACATTTAATGCACATCAAACAGACAATGAAATCAACGTCGCTATCTGCTAGCGTGCTTGCCTTTAGAACCCAGGTGACACCAACTTGCACAGTTACCTGGGCGTGACCCGATCACCAATGACCCATCGCAGCAGGAACATAAATGTGAAATGTCCAGGCAACGAGACTAGATTTTGGTATCGGAAGTGTTCTGGATCACATTTAGGCAGACTTTGATTGAATTAATTCAATGATTCAACAATTACTAACAACTAGTAACACCGTTGCCTATAGACATGTTTGGTTGACCGAGTGCATAAGCCCCAAGACAATCGTCACCAAACACAAATCGTCAAAGGCTTAGAAATCGGTTCACAAAACATAGTATAGCTGGAAAGTATAGCAAATGTTGTCATGGAACGTAATGGCAAAGCAATTGGATTACATACATCTAAGTTTGCAGTGTTTGCACAAGGTTTATGACTCTAGGGAGGCGGACGGCACACGTCCTTGTTTCACGGAATACGCACAGAAAACAGCCGTGCGCAGCAAGGAGTGAGCAATTGTAGACGTGAACGAAATTCTGAACGGATTCCTGAAATAAGCTTCCAGACTTTCAAATGGTAGGGTAGGGCAACACTCGGTTTAATCTTATTATAAACTGTCTACTTCTGAAACACTCCAGTCTTACATTTCATTTTGAGCTCAAGTAAATAGTTGGACTGTTAATATAGGGCAGCGCACGGCAAAGGAAGTCTTGGTCCAGATATCCACATCATCCCAAATAGGGATGACCCCCTTGCGTGTCCCTTGCGTGCCTTTTCACACCTCCTTGGGTCCTTGCGTGTGTCGCCTCCCGCAGCGCACCAGGCTGCGATTGGTCCACTAACTACATCCTTTACGCATGTAGCCGATACCGCCATTATTAAAACGAAGAACGTTTACAAGAGAACGGATCAGATTGAAGAGCTTTTGTCGGAAGAAATGCGTAAATATGACCGCTTATACAAGCCGTCATTGGCGGGTTGTAGAAGATGAAAAGCAGCAGTGGTGATGCACGGGGCAATAAAGTCTATGATAAATAAATAAACAAACCAACGACTTCCACAAACAAAGACGTGACTCTCTAGGTCGTCTTCAACAAAAACACATCATACTCCACCTGTTGTTCTGGCGGTGAATTGCTCTGCAACACACGCAAGACTTTTAGAACCATGAATTGAAACGAGTGCGTCGACACAACGACGCAGACACAGAAGCATGCACCAGCCTTGAAATGTCATTAAAATTAAGCAGAAAAGTGCAGGTTTTTAGACCTGTCTTTACAAACTAATCTAATAAAGAAAAATGATTTATGTCAGTTAGGCTAAAATCTATGTTGTGAAAAATGAATCACATGATGATGGTCAACTTTCTGTTTACACATATCTTACGTTTAATGCCTACTTGTATTTACACATTATAACTTTCAATGAATAATTATAAATAAGTTATAGTAATGTAGTAATAAGTTGCACAGACAATAGATTATTAATATTACAAAATGAACTCCAATACCTGCAGTGGCATGTCCACTGATGTTAGCGCTCTTCTGGTATTAACTGGCTGATTTCTTAACAGTGAAGTGGGATTATTTGATTAATAGTAGATGTTACGGAACATCTGGCAAGACAACAATGTATTCTTCAATGTTTAACAATGATCTAATGCAAGTGCCTCAGCTGAAATGAAAGGTGTCATATTACCCATTTTTAATACTTCCTAATGTGACCAAATTTAACAGTCACGTCCATGCATTACTGAGAATACAGACACAAATATGTATGGGGTCCATGGACCTAAGGAGGCAAACAAGCCAGCAGCTGCTCACTTTAATTTGGCCCCAGACCTGTCTAAACCACGACTGAGATATGTGCCACAGCAAGGCACATGAAGTCCTTTTTTTCCTCCACATGAAGGATATTTTGAGTTGCCATTTTTAAACTAAAGCCAGAAAGAACTCCAAATGGCCCTACATTACAATGCAGTATCCATTGAACGTAACTAGCCCTGCAAATAGATGCAGCAGTTGTGTGATTAATAGGAAATTATCATTGGTTGTATTATATGAAGGATAATCATATTTAGCCTTCTATAATCCACAAGTTAAAAAAAAGTAGTAAGAAGGGCCTTTCAAGATCAGAAAAAAACAGACAATAAATCACAACTGCACCATGTGAGCAATGCCACTGGGTAAGGTGGGGGAGGGTAATACATAATTACTTTTAACTCAAAACTGGGCGATTAAAACCTCCCTGCAGAAACAGGCTGAGGACAGAAATCCCCAAACTATGGCAGAGATTTATCATTTTATGGTTCATTGAGAAAAAATGCTGATTTTAGTCGCTTTTAGAAACTCATAGGATAGGGCACCAGGGGAAAACTGGTAACGCCTTGTATTGCCATTGACTTAAGCCACACCCACATCCTGAAAGTATGGTGCATGGAAAAACACTGGCCTGTACCACTTTAGCCCAAGAGGGGGGTTTAGTCAACCCTTTAGGTAATGCAGCAGTTTCCTATCACTTGTATATTCGGTGCTGTTGAGAGCTTCATTTTGTGTATATTTTACACTCTGACATTTCTTATCTCTGGGTATACAACTCCTCTTCAAAATGTCTTACTTATTGCCCATCCTTCAAGCTGGATGTGCCTGGTGCCTGTTTTAGGACTGCTACAACCTAATACAGTTGCTAAATAGGGAAATAACTTATGCTCGGTTGCTTGTATCAGACTGTGGGAAACATAATTGTGTGTCTCATAGTTACAGTACAGTAAACCGTGTCTACTCGTTCTTATACTCTAGAGTGTGTAAGTGAACAAGTATTATTCCACCACACCAAACTCACTGTGATGTTAGCAATGTTGAAAAAAGTTATCAAAAAGACACATTAACGTATAATTAGAAAAAATGTTGTGTTATAATTATTATTTTAATAATAATAACCTGATTTAGAAAATGTCATGAAATCAACTGACGTGATCGCAAAAGGCAGCAAAATTGCTTTCGCAAAAAAACGGCAGAACTAAGGTTAAAATTCTTTACCTTAAGTCAAAAGTAAAAAAGACACTGGCGCTGTCAAAATGCCATTACTTTATATGGTTTAATACATTGAGCTAATTGGCTTTAGGAACTAATCGGGCGCTTGCTAACATAGTTTACGCTAACAGCGCTACAATCCCAACTGTTAGCTTTGAACTTATTGTAAAAATTTGCCCCCCATGGAAAAAAACCCTAAAATAATTGGAATTAAGATACAAAATGGTGACATTCATAATCCCGGGCTCCGACAAGAACAGTAATAATTCACCTTCAATATCAAAAGAAAGTGAGAGCTGCTAGCATGCTTATTGGCACGCTAGTTGCAATACCGCGACTCACCGACTCTTCGCGTGGCCGAAGTAATGTTCCCGCGATTTTCAGTGTCGCTCTATCGCAGACCGTCTGCGCCGCCTCCTCCTGCCGCTGTTCAATTCCTCCGCCCGCTACAGCACCTTGCTCTCCCTTTGATTAAAGTCCACCGGTTTCAGCATTCACCAGAAAACGAGTGAGTTTTGCCCCAACGGCTGAGTAATTGTGCCTCCGCGGACTCGACCAACTGCCCTTTCTCTTACAAATAGACTCCTCCTACTTTCGTGGACAACAAAAAACCCCACAGAACGGTTGGTCGAAGGATTCTGCGCGTTGACCAACGATGGCTCCCGTCGCTTCTAGTTTTTTTTTTTTTTAAGAGTCGCTCTAGCGTCGCTTGTGGTGAAGTCGGTAGCTGGAGCCGGCGAGGGCGGCATGAACAGCCCCGGGACGTGACCGGTCGGTCTGTATGGACGGATGGTCTGGTAGGACGGGCGCAAGTGAGTTTATAGAGCAGCAGCCCCACTGCTTGGATGAACTGCAGCGGGGTTCCAGCGAGCTCACGGAGCCAACCGGTGGTGCGAGGGACAACGGGGAGCGGAACATTAGCATTCAGGGGGGAGGGGGAGGGGCGACGGAGTGAAAACTGCGGGGCTGAGGGGGAGGGGTCAAACGCTGGAGGAGGAGTCATCTGAACAACAGTCTGAAAAATGGTGTAAGCTTGACAACAGGCCGAGGTGTCATTGTGGTTTGTACAACATTTATAGTGTAGGTGTTGTTTTGGTTCGGAGGCTTTCTGTGTGTGTGTGTGTGTTTGTGTGTGTTCACGTAAATAACCCAGCGCGTGAGTGACCTTCAGAGGTTTGCGCTTTGTTTTACAGTGATTTTTCTATTTTTCTACATGGCACATATGAGATGAAAAGAATATCCACACCAATGTTTTAGGGAGTATAGTTATTTCAAATGTATTTCTTTTAGAATGGACTAACACAGAATATACCCATAAAAAATGTTTCACAATTTCACTGTGATTTTACGGATCCATCACAATTCAAGAAGATGAGGAACCTCCTTTTCATTCCTCACTTAACAAAAAAGAGAATCCGTTACTTTCGCGTAACGGTCATTCAATTTTAGCTCTCTTCTCACACCACACAGAGCAAACAGCCATTTTGTTGACTCCCTTCTAGAAGGTGTAGTTCTCAAGGGGGGCAGCAGAGGGCTAATCCCATTGATTGTATTATCACAAGCGTTGTAGATGTTCCTGTTCTCATGGATGCAGCCTTGCTCCTACCCTACAGTCAGTTTTCATGATGAATCCGTGTGATGTTGTAGTTGTGCTCTTCCTTACCTCTCTGCTGTGCTGTCACTCACTCGCACAAGAGGAGAGCGCTAGTCTAAAAGAGAAGAACCCTTGAGGTTCTTGTAATCTACTCGTGTGTTTAAATACAGTTAGGCTACCCCGTGACACGGTGCCTCTGCATTGACCCTGACAAATGGAATGACTTGAAGTTTATCAATAAGAGCTCTCACAGGGAACACTAAGCAGACCACCAACAAAGAATTGAATCTGCAGTAATGGATGATGAGAAATAAATAAAGACGAGAATTCGCATGTACATTTCTGCGCAAAACGCAGTGGTCGCTATTTTATTGTTGAATCTTAATTTTTTATAAAAAATGCACATACACACATTTCAGAACTGTTAGTGTAAGCAAATGTGATGGAAATGAGCTCAACATTTGCGTCATGCTCTAAGATGAGGCCAAAGGGAAGAATCAGGAGAATCTACATATAAACTACATTCCGTGGTTAACAGACAGATTGTCGACTCAACATGATGAATGAGCCAAAAGGCCGCTGATGACGGCAGACTAGGAACAGATGATAGTAACAGACCTGCAATAGGAGGAGGGGGCTTTCTCATTTCTTGATTTTTATGCCTCCTCCATCCTCGATCCTCCGTCTCGTGTCCATCGATCTTGGAGCTCAATCTTGAAGAACGTCCCAATTCTGTAAAATGAAGCTATTAGCGAGGAAACACCAGCGTATCCTTGCATGACACACAGCTGTAATTCTAAACCGAGGCAGGACCCAACGAATGTAACCGATTAAATTGTGGGCATTGAAGGTGATCAAAACTTCTTCCCTTTGTCGACCAGCGTAAAGCCGTTGTTTTATCATGAATGTAGACAACATACAATTTATACTATAATTAAAAAATAGCTATGAGTTTGTGATTCTGTTTAGGCCAACAGAGAAGGCTTGCTGGCCCTGACGGCCCACCACTGTAAAGTACATGATATGTGAGTATGTGGTGAATAAAAATGTATGACCACAGTCCTTGTTGCGTTATGCCACGTTATTCAAATGGAATATATATAAATTGTACTGAACGCTGTTATGCTGCTACTCAAATATGATCCAGCGGCATGAGAAAGCAATGGAAAGCTAACGCAGCACACGACACGTTCAACTGACGCAGCTCGGTAGACAACAGTGTCTCATTTTTTTTAACTGCTGTCACTCTACAAATGTTGTCTGACGAATCAGACTGGCAAGTGAATGGAATGTCACTTTACTGCATATTCAATATGTTGGCAGCTTAGATTGATATTTGGCTAACATCTGCAACTACTACCAAAAAAAATATATATATATATATATATATATATATATATATGTATATATATATATTCTTTTTTGATACTGAAGTATTTCATTAAGGTATTTGTTTTACAGCAAAGCAAAACAATACCATCACATCTGACAAAAAATATATATATATATTGTAATTATTGACCATGCAACAAAAGAAGCGGGGAGAACAAAACAAATCACACAACTAACAAGTGATCTCTTCAACCATGATGCTGCTCCATATATGTAACGCTGTGTATGGAATCGCAGAATTCTCATTCGTTTATTGGACTGAATATCAGTTTGACTCAATTCAATGACAACGTTGTTGGTGTGTTGTACGAATACCTTTTTATTTCGAGTATACGTTTCTAAATAATTTGTTTCTATTTCTATTAAGTACAGTTTTGTGTAAGCATACATGCACAAATGTATCTTGCTGTTATGGCAGAGAAGGAGACGGAGAATCCCTGCCTACGCACGTGTAGTCTGAGAATTTTGCTGTGTCGAGACCGTTTGTTTGCCAGTAACCTTTTGGTTGTCCTGGAAGTTCTCTTGTCAAAATGTGTGTAACCCGGTTCTGACTTCATCCAAAGGTCTAGGTCTAGGGGGCAGTGTATGGAGGTTCCTCTCAAGTCCCCCCGACATCACCACAGCTTCAAGCGCGTTCAGCTGAAGGTTGTTCTGACACGTTTTCTGAGGTGCAGTCGTCAGTATAGAGCATGGGTGTCAAACATGCGGCCCCGGACGGATCCGGCCCTGCGGGGGTCCAGGTTGGCCCACCGGATCACTATAAAAGTAGTTGCTATTCCTAATCAGTCAACTGGGGGTCGCACAGTAAGCGCATGCTATAGACTCACCGTGAGTAACACTCTGAGATCGTCCTCACTCCAGCCGGCAGAGCTCGTCTGAAAATGACGGTGCCCCCCACGTCGGCCGTACCATTGCCTATGATTTCACTGGTCAGGACTACTTGAGATCAAAGTGGGCGGGAAGTGCCCCCTTAACTAAAATGTGTTTGACACACGGTATAGAGGGAGAAGAGCAGTGGGGCTAGTACCCATCCCTGAGGGACACCAGCACCACACCCCATGCCTCACCAACAGGTGGGTGTGGTAATGTGTTGGGTTAGTTTGGGGCAGTTGATATCCAGGATGATGAGGTGAAGTCCACAAATAGAGTATCGCATCTTTCCCTGCAAGAACATGCTCTTTGAGAGGTTACATCCACCAACACCAGTCGGCCTTCCCATATCCATAAAAATGTTATTTCAAAAAATAAAGGGGGTGACTATCATCATGACCATGCGCTGGACTACTTTCATCGCAGTTTGCATGTTAGATCGAGGTACTGTATGTACATCGATTACTTATGTCAAGATTCACGGAACAGATAGGGAGCCAAAACCAGGTGGGCAATGGATCAGCCAGGCAGAATAAAGGGTGTAAAGGTAGTGGAGCTTCAGACTACCTTGAAGGGAATAAGTGCAGACAAGACAGGTATGCACCACAAGGCCGATTAGAAAAATGGTGGGGAAGGTCATGTGATATATTTGTAATTAAGCTGTTGTTTACTCAGATAACACTTTTCACAATTAAACATTGGAAAATACAAATACCTGTTCTTATGCAAGATCTTTTTTTCCTAATGCAGAAGTCTAAATCCTCAGAGAAACATTTGATTTAATGTACAGCACCAGAGCCCAGTAAATTAAGAGGAAGCAGTACTACACTTCAATTCAGATTATTTTCTGTATATTTAGTGGTTATGGCGGATGTTGCGGCAGGATAAGATTAGACAAGATAAGAGAGAAAAATATTAATTCCGATGGAAATCAGTAAGAATTGGGGTCCACCTGGGTTGAGCAGATGAAGATAATTTAGGGATTTGAAAGGATTAAAAAACTCCTTTATTTTGTTTATTTTACTCTTAAAACGTATTGCTAGAGAATCGTCCTAGATTTTTCCAAGCAGCGCAGGGACACATTTCTGTCGGGGGTCTGGTGCGATATATGTGTGACGATTGTAATAAAGGTTGATGTTTTCTAACCTCAAAAGATAATGGTAGTGCTGCCTGTTGGAAGACAGGACAGTGGCATACAGTATCTCACAATGAGAGCCAGCCCTAAAGGGCTTCTTTGATGGTGCTGGCTCTGGGAGTTCTGACTTACACTGCACATCTACCCACAAAATAGAACAATAAAACACATCAGACTGACCTAGACTTTCTGATCTAAACGTCTTCCCAAAGAAAATGTATGTATGTAATGCATTTGAAAGTGTACAGGACCCAAGATTGTTCCCTGTGGCACACCACAGGACAGAGAAACAGTCAATATACACAAAATAATCTGCTTAGGCAGACATACCCCCCCTGGAAGGACCTTTCCAGAAATACTCCCCCACTGCCCATACTTTGTTAACATGTATATTCAACTGGATTGCAAAATAAATGTCACTATGGTGAAAAGGAGTGGTAATCTATATCACAATGTTTCGTCAGTCATAAGATATGAAAAGGAATTTTCCAGGATGCATGGTCCTTCATTCTGTTAACTGACTGTTTTTGAAGAGCTGTGCTTTTCCAAGATAAAGAGGTTTTTTATTCCGTTTGGTAGCCCTGAGCCAACCAGCAGCAGCCTCCATTTGTCGGCTACATCCTTATGAGGACGCATTTGTCGACCGCATTCGTAACTTCGGCTGCGACTCGGCTGTCCCAGTCCGTGTACTCCTGCTAATGCGGTAGCCCAGCCCTTCAGATTTGGAGGACACATTTGATCTATCCCACGCGGCGCAGCATATCCCATCATGGTAGGGCAATGGGGGATAAGGGGTAGAAAAAAAAATCCAGACTTTGCTGAGGGGGCGGTACCCTTCTTCAATGGTAGGGAAGCACTGCTCATATATTAAAAAAATTGAGAAGATTACCTTCTCTATGTGCATTTTTAAAATTTGTTTTTTTTTAAGACTTTTACTTTTAAGTGCAGCAGGTTGCTAGGAAACGGGGGCAGCAGAAGGAAAAGCTGATGACGCAAGCAGGAAGTTCCCCTGGTGATTCACACCCCAGACAGTCCCATTTCAGGGACGCTTACGCTTGGTTCAGCCTATTCGGTTGTTGGAGGACCCAGATCCTAACGAGTTGAGACGTAGCTTGTGTGTGTTGTTTTGTGAGGGGGAGAGGGGATGGAAGAAGCAGTCTGTTTCTCTGCGTTTATATAGTTCTGTACCTTCTCCCGAGGGGAAGGGGACAAAGGTTGTGACATGGGTGGGTTGGGGCCTTACCGCTTTACCGCCTTACCGCTGCCAGAATCGGGAGCTTGGATCCTACAATCCTCCGCGCTGTTTTGACGATCCACGTCGCTCCGGTTCTTTGCTATGCAGCAGGTGTACACATGGATGGGGCAGTGGCAGAAAATGGTTTCTATGGTGCTCCTGAAGAAGATGATCCTTGATAATGGTATGATGAGAGGTACAGCGTAATTGGATTTTAGCAAGGCCTTTTATGTTATCTTTCATTGGCTAAATATCTAACTGAACAAATTCCTTCCTTAAGTCCCAGAACAGAGCAGAGTATTTTTAAACCAGGGAACGGGATGGTCTTAAGCACAGTCACATGTCCCAATGTTACACAAGAAGAGGCTCACATGTGATGAACATAACGTAACACAAATATTGTTGTGTTGCTTTATACATGGTGTATATGATGAATATCATGTACTGATTTTGGACCCAATAAAGACTAACTAGTACATTAGCATCTTCTAATTGAGATTATTTTTTAAATAAATCTATAAACACAAGGATTCTTACTTCAAAAACAGCTACTGATCCTACTTCTACCACTATTACTACTGATAATAGTAATAAGAAGAAAAGGGCACTCAGTAGCATGCGTGATGTGATTTCGGGCAGGTTCTTCCGCCTCAACCACTGCTGTATTGTGTAATTGGAGTAGAACAACCCACAATTGGCTACACCGCCCCCGGCCAAATAGCAATGGCCCATAAGGTGCTGAATGGCAGCAATGTACTCGGCAGTCTGTGGACTGTTGCTTTCTAGACACACGTCTAAAACAATAAAAAGCGAGCAAACTGACGAGGCCACACACACACTGTGTCTGTGGACGCAGAGTAGCATCTGAGGGGTGGCGGTATACTCAGCAGTGTGTGTAATGGTAGTTCCGTTACCTAGTAGCCAAACTTATTGTCCAAAGGACTTAAAGTGGCCCCCCGTGTCCCTGTGGACTCAGCTGCGTTACCACCGGTGGCCAGTTAAGAGCATTGCGCGAGTCAGCGGACAATCAACGGCAGTATTAAACTTCCGTCACTGCAACAACCTGAGGGCCTCGTGCATGCGGTCATAAAGGGCTCCCTAATTATTATGCAGTTAGCTGCAGAAGAATAGGAGATTAGATTTTTATAGTGATGATAATAAAAAATACCCCAAATATTAATTTGAGCACTTATGATACAAATGCTAATTATGTGAATATTTCATTCATTGTTGAAACATTAATAAAAACAGCTCTTACAAAAAACAACATGGAAATGTGCTTTAATTTAGTAAAGAATAAATTACAATAATAAGACATTAATGTATAACTCAACATAACGCAGAGAATTATTTCTCAATGTGTCATTGCAACTTTGAGAAAAGTGGTTATCAAATAAATGTACATGGTAGCGTTCTACTCATTCAAACGGATGAGTGATATGTAGATGATTTAGTTACAGGGGTTAAGTGACAGATATGTGACCTGATCAGTCGGTATGGACACAAGCATGCACGCACAAACACCATTTCAAATTTCTGCTTGAAACCTTTGACTGCACTAAATTCACAGACAACAATTAGCTATTTGCTGCATATGACACATTTTTATATTAAAATCGAAAGATTGAATTACTTGTAGTTTTGGCATATTGTGTGCTCTACTGCAGACACTGCAGTGCACAGCAGTACAACAGCTGGGTTCTTGAAGGGAACTTGGTAAACATGTTTATAACTTCATAAATCTTATGGATTTGGAATAATTGCACCAACACTTTGGGGTAATATAATTAACGTTTCTTGCAGACCCGAGCGAGATATGCAAGTTATCAGTGACAGCAGTAGAGGATCCAAACTCTGTAAACTTCATCAATATATCGACTGTGTACAAAACGCATCTGAGCAGTAGGAATGTGTGTGGACGAAGCGCTGGTCCGCCTGCCTACGAGTCACTGCTTATAGACGGCAGAGTGCTGCCCCGAAGTGGTGGATCTCTGAACTTCATATTCGAATGGCATCAACACAAACACTGGCCACCACATTAGATTTCTGCGTTGCACCAAAAAGGTTTTCTGTCCACCTATGTTATTGGTGGGATTTCTTTCGAGTAAGAAAATATTTTATTCCTGAGTGACCAGTGGGTTTGGTAACAAGTAAACCACATCCTCCATGCAAAAAAGAAAAAAAACATGAGCAAAAGATTTCCGCTCACCGACATGCGGCAGGCTTTAAGATTACATTAGAATTTGGGGCATGTTGAAATATTTATTAAAAACAACTAATCTGTTCTATAATTATCCTCCAGGGTATTTCATGGAGAAAAACGCAGCTAATGCGAGTGAGCTCAAGCATTAATGCATATTTCCTTCCTCTATACCTACTGTGGTGTAACACAGCGTGCTGAGCCAAACATCCCCCAGCTGTTTAGTTTGTGTGCACGACTACGGGAATCACAGAATCCGCAGAATGCACCTTGTGGACTGCATTTCATATGTGAATGTTGCACCCTTGTTTACAGGTCTGTGCATGCAAACTATTTTTGAATGGACAAAAAAAGCAACAGGAGAGGGAGCTTTGTTTTCTTTGTGGGGGCGGGTTGTAAGAGAAGACGGCACAGCTTGCTCTGTTAACAGTAAAGCAACGAGGATTCTTTCCTTCAATCAACTGCGGCCGCAGAGAGTTTTGAAGAAGCAATTTGTAACTATCAGGACTGAGCCATACTGAGCCATACAATGCTATGATTATAATATTTCCAGCAAATTGTTGTTAATTTTACAATGGCACTAGATTGTCCATACATCAATCTGAACGACTTTGACATTGGACCGGAGGGGTTTGATGTGTTTTGGGGGACGAGACTGTAGAAGACGATGGGCGGCGTTAGGGATCAGAAGAAATGGACAGGTCACAGAGCACGCACCGATGCCGTGGTAACAATGGTCACAACATTTTATGGGTTCCTCTATCAGCTTCGTTGCACTGTTTATATTCTCACACCGACTGAGCTGACTACAAGTTGCTTTCCTGGGTGTCATTGCAGGTGATGGGGTGGAGGCCGCCGTTCTCGTTCAGTCTCTTGGCACGATAGGTTTCATAGTGGATGTTGTGAGTGACCTCCTTCAAATCCTGGAGGTGAGACCTGAGAAAGAGAGGCGCAGGAGCACAGAGTGACATGCTGCTCGTCGTGAAGCGAATTGATCACGGAGGTATCAGCATTATTACGTCTTCCAATGTTTTGGCTGAAATGCAGCTGGACATGGGAGGCAATCTGCAGCAGTGGGATTTGCCATTTAAATTAAAAGTACAGGAAAAGTACAAACTAATCCCAGTTAATATACTGGGCCTTTCTGTAACAATACACTATGTTATAATAACATTCTATTTGAAGAAATCATCTTGACCTCTTTTCACAATTTCCTAACCTTTTACAACGATAATTTAATGTTTTATTAGATTTTTCCATGATAAAAATAATCATTAACTGCAGCCTTTTTCTTTCTTACCTAAGATCCACGTTGTTCAAATACTATGTCACAGAAAAAGAGAGCTAGTATGGCGTTCCGCTGTGTGTAATACCCGGCCACGCGCTCCAAACAAATAGTGTGCAGCATTTCACCTCTAATGGAAACATGCCATCTAAATGTGATAATCAGTTGCTTTTTTTAGACAGCAGCAGGGAAAGAAGAGACAAAATCCAACCTCCAGATATCCATTAGCTGTGGGATCACATATTTATCATTTATCCAAACCCCCCAGTTCCAGGCTTCCAAAACAAAAGCATCGTCCGGCTCGCCGTGTGGCTCCCGGAGCCGCTGCCTGAATCCAAGTAGCTACAGTACAACGCTACATGAAGGTCCCTCTCCGGGCGCTACCATCTGCTAAGGACGCAACGGAAAAAATGGGTTTTTCACTTAACCCCCCAAAACGATTCACTGCCCTCAAGGCAGCTCTACCTCGATGTCCACTCATGTTAGACTGAAGGCTGGACGCTTCGGTGACTCTATTGTACTTGAAGTACGAGTGGTGTAACAACTGGGTGAGTGGGGTTCTTTTAGCAACACACCACATATTGTACCTGATCAGGAAGTCTCTCAGCTGAGCAAATTCACAATGGTTTGGATTCTCGACTGCGAGGAAAAAGAAAATGAAAAGAGTCAAACATCATATCTTGTTTTTGACCTGACACCATTAAAATGAGCCTGCTTGTTAAGAAAGGCCGTGTGACTCACCTTCCACAATGCCCCACGCCGTCTTCCTCCCCAGAACTCGTTTGCCGTTCACTTGATATTCTTTGTCGCTGCCCACCACAGCAAAGGGCATCGCCTCCTATGGACGGAGACATTTCCACGCGGCTCAGTGAACCGACGAGAGCCGCACGCGGTTTATGAGGTGAAACAATCACACGACACGCCCCGGCGCCCTGACGTTCTCTTCAGAGGAGGGAAGAAAGAAGGAACAGAACTTACCCGGATCTTGTCATTGTCGCTTTTGTCCTCCATGTCTTCGTCAAACTCTTTCTGGGGGTAAACCTCGATCCCGCCCATCTCCAGCTCCTTCCTTACCTGCAGCACACAGTGAGAAGTAGTCATTTTCTCATAGACTTCTATCAAATCGGACTTTTCTTTGTAACACGCCCCCTGATGGCCATTCGAGAGAATGCACTTCCTAATTTTTTTTTCGTTATTCAGACCTGGAGATCCACTTTGTCTCAAGGTACAAAAGGGATCCCAAAACATCCCATGATCACCAAATATCCTATTGTCCATCTTTGTATACAGTCCATAGTTGTTACTTCCCTTTTTTACACAATTATCTAAACCATTATTGGTGTGAACATAATGACGAGAGCTGCTTTAAGTACCACGGTATATGTTGCTCAGGATAATTGGAAATTAAAAACACGTTTGTCTCATTAGAGGGAAAACAATGCAATGGAAAATAACATCTTTAGCATTTCTTATAAGCATTAACGTTGCTATAAATGAACAGTGTTACATTGCAAATAGCTGATATGTTGGTCTGGTATGTTTATCACTTCAGACTCACCCGCTGTTTGAACTCCAGCCTCTCCTCAATGGTCATGGTGTCTGACTTGGCTATGACGGGAATGATGTTGACCGAGTGACTCAAGCGCTTCATGAACTCGATGTCGAGCGACCGCAGACTGGGACAGACGGAGGGAGGGAAGGAAAGAAAGAGGGTGAGTGAGTGAGTAGATTCAGCAAAAGGAGAGGGAGGCACGGGGATGTCATTGGTCATGTTTCACCCGTCCAAACGCCTTGAACTAGTCTTGCAGTGATTACAAGAGCAGTCCAGTGTGGATTCTATTTGAACAAGTGGGATTATCATTGGACAATGGATGTGCCGTTGGGGACGAGGCTGAACTCACGAGTGTCCGGTCGGGGTGATGAAGTAGATGCAGCAGTGCACCCTGGTGTCGGGGATGCGCTTCTTCCTGGTGATGTTGACCTCCTCCTTCAGGAACTTTTCGTACTGCTCGTTGATGTACTTGGAGATGGGCTCCCAGCTGTGGAGATGGCAGAAGAGGTGAGCGGAAGGGGTGGGGGGGCAATTGAGCGATAGATGGGAGGAGGAGGAGGAAACGAGACTGGGACCGGTTTCAATGTACTTCAGTGAGGCACTAACGAAGACGCTGAAAAACCTACCAATTGTCGTTATTGATTTGGTCTCCAAATCCCGGGGTGTCGACCACTGTCAGCTTCATCTTCACGCCGCCCTCCTCGAGGACTGTGAGGAGAACACGCACAGAGAAAGGAGCGACGTGATCCACAGCTGCTGCTTTGTAAGTGGGAACAACGACTGCTCTGCATTGGATGTGTAACATTCTCTATCTGAATATCCAACGTAGTAAAACATTTCCAGGCGTGTGCCGTGTGTCTGTGGCGCCGCGTGGGATGGTGTAAAACCGTAGCGGTCGCTGAGCTCTGTCCGCGGGTTTGACACTCGTCACTCGACACACACTGTCACGGTGTGGTTCACTTCCTGTCTTATTTTGTCGTTTTCTGCCACTCGTGTCCCCGGGTAACTTCACTTCCTGCCTTGTCCTGTCGTCCCCTGTGATTGTCTGATTGTTTCCACCTGTGTCCAATCACCTGCACCTCCCTAGTGTATTTAAGCCGTGTGTCTCTTGTCGCTTGTCAATCGTCCCGGATGCTCCTCGTTCCTGCCTGCCTTTTTACCCCGGTACTTGTATGTGTTTTTGCCCCTTGGCCTTTTGCTTTTTGCCCGTTTTGACTATTAAAGTCTTCTTTTGTTACTTGACGTCCTTCCTGAGGCTTTTTCCGGAGTTACGTTTTTTTTGTGAAAGGTAGAAGTTGCACGTGTGCAGATTGAAGGGCTTTGTGTCAACTAGACCACATAAATGAGTTAAACACGTCATGATAGGAGTGTATTACATATCAGATGCTAATGATCATATAATGCATGCCATAATATGTTTACCTGGAGAAGCGTTAGACCAAAGGGGTAATCAGTGAATGCATTGTAATATTAAGCATTAGGGGATCGGTCAGGTCAGTGAGGGAGCAGATGAAGCCAGGTGGAAGGTCATAAAGTGCCTGGAGGCAGAGGAACGTCCCGATGACCAACCATACGGCTGTAAAACAATGAACACACCCCACTTACATACAGTGCTGTGTGTTCTGGCTAATTAGGGATCCTTTCAAACGGTGGTGTGTGTTTTGTGAGTCACGAGGAGAAACAGTAAGAAATCAGTAAGGCACTGTTGGCTAAACACAAATTGGGCCACGTTTATCAAAAGGTCGTTCATTTATTCTGCCGCAAATGTCCGTCTCTCTAGAGAAAGAGAGCAGAGGCTCTTGCTGCTTCACTCACCATGAGACACGGCTTTGATCTCGATGGTTTTGGGGATCTTCTCATCGCGGGCCCACCCGGCACTCCTCCTGCTCACCTGGGACTTGAAAAGGGTGTTCACCAGGGTGGACTTTCCAAGGCCGCTGTTCCCTGAGACGAAAGAGGAGTTAAGGTCAAACAAGGAATAAAATTGAATTCATAATATTCAAAAGCCTGTAAAACGCCGACATTCTGTGACTTACCAACAACCATGATGTTGAAGTCAAAGCCCGCCTTCATGGTCTTCTTCCTCATCTGCTCAATGATGGTGTCGATGCCAATATACCCCAGCAGAGTGGATCCGCCCCCGGACCTGTGGGCGCCTGCGTGACCGTGACCTCCATTGTGGGCAGCGGCGAGGCCCCCAACATGGCCCGCCCCATGGCCCACGTTGTGGCCCACGGCATGGCTGGCGACGTGACTCCCGATGGGGACTGGGATGGCACTGGGAGGCAGAGCTGAAGCACCGCCTCCTATGCCCGGGCCCTGCGGCGGGAAGGGGCTGGAGGGGGAAGGAGCCCCCACATTCGGGGGCTTGGCAGGGACGGCTGGTTTAGGTCTCACCTCTGGAGGAACTATGTCTGACATGTCTGCAGGAGATGGAGAGGGAGGTATTAAAACACCTTAACACCGTCATACCGGCAGGAAAATACTGCCACACGAGGAAGTAGGCCAGTGGAGCAGGCCGAGGCCCCCCCCGCTCTGGGACTGATCTACAGGCTCAGCTCACCCAAATGAACAAAACAGAACTGTCACTGACAGGGCTTTTTACATAGAAGACGTTCGACATATCAGAAAATCAGAAAAGTGGAGTTTTAGTAACAAAATGAATATCAGCATATTTTTCATTTGAAGAAGTTTTTTACCATCAGATGAAGATCAATCAGTTTCTGGCTCTATAATCTCAAAGTTTGACTTTCTAATACTGCAAGCAGCAGCAGTGACACTCCATCAAAGTTATTATCAAAGGACAATGCAAAAAGTCTTGATGTTTTACTTAGTCTGTAGTAAACTGAATCACTTTGGTTATACACACTTTAGTACACACCATAGGACTTTGACTAATCTAGAAAATAGTGCTTATGCTCAGTGACAATGACACTGGCGGCTGCAGTGTCGGTCCCCAGTGAGCAGCGCAGCTGAAACGACACCATCCAGCATCTGCTCCTTTAAACCGGTCCGCGCGGTGCTGTGAACAGGCGCGAGGCGGAGCAGCTCGTCCCCGTGGGGGGCCCGCGTGGGTCGGCCGTGCACGGGCCGCTGAGGCGGAGGCCGCCGCCTCGACCCGTCACACGGAGACTCGCCTCGTTACGACGTCAGCATTGCGACCGAAGCTGACCGCCGACGTGAAAGCAACGACCCGCTTCCTCACATAAAAAAAACAACGTCATTTTTGTACTGGCTACGTAACGCGAAGGGCCACACGCGTGCACGCGCACACACACACACACACACACACACACACACACACACACACGAGTCGCTCTGCATCTTGGCTAAGCGCCCTTTGTCTGTTTCAACACAGCAGCCCGGCTCAGCTCCATCACAGCCCGTGGAGCTCCTCCATTGTCTCCGCCAGATGATCACGCTAACCGCTAGCTAGCATCTCGCCGCGAGCTGCGGGCTAACGGTCCGCTCCGATGTGACGTGGGCGTCGCGCTCACCTGTTCCCGTTCAGTTGAGCCGCGGAGCTGCTTTCAGAGGCCCGGCCGATCGATGGTCGCTCTCGGTCACAAGAACAACCGACGCGCATCCAAGCAGAGCGGTAGCGCGATGAGGGGCGGTCATGTGATCAGTCCGGGTACCGCTCCTCGTGAGCCCCCCTCTTCCGTTACCGTGGAGACAAGAGGAGAGGGAGTGGGGAGATGCAGCGCGCACGCGCAGTGTCTTCTGACAGCTATGCGGACTATTTCTACGGACTATTTTGGATTGCATTATAATTAGAGACAATTAGACGGTGATACGCAGGGGAAACAAGAATTGAGATCATTTACTTAAGGGGACATTTTGCCCTGAAATAAAAAATGTACCTGAATTCAAAGTATTGTATCCACAGTGTTTAGATGGGAAATGACCATTTACATTTGGACAACTGGACAGTTTTTTTACTCGTAGGGTCTCCAAATGAAACCACACAGGACGACAGGACTGATGGCAATACGATATGTCAGGGAGACAGACAGATGTAGGCACATTATTCATAATAATACTAGTGATGTTTTAACCTCTACTCAGGGCTGTAAGTATTTTTGTTTCTTAAAATGAATTCTTTGATGGAAGACAAGCCACAGTTTATCCCTTTTTGTTTCTTCTTTTCTGCCTGTTTTCGTTGTGTGCGTTTGTTTTTGCATGTCCTCCTGGACTAGACACTAGACAGAGTTCTAACTAACTCTCCTCAGCACGTCTGCTACTCTACTGATAAGGACTGACATCTTAAATCCGCCTGCTATCCCCTTTGACCACCCCCTTCGACAGAAACGTATCGAACTATGTCTGTCATGTCTCTGCGGGATCTCCAGACTTTGTTCAGTAAGAGTCTTCCAAGTGTTTTTCGGTATGTACTCACCCACGTACACTGATCCAGGGTAATACATTGTAACGTAATAGGGGTCCTCTGGATCCTCCATGATAAATGCCCGGTCTGCTCGGGGGTAACTGGGTAGCGGAGGCGAAGCAGCTGTTGTTGTCTCTTCTGGTCTCTGGCTCGCTGTGTGCCGCAGCGGGCCAGAGACCCCTTTTGAACTGACGCCCAAACTGTTTGTGTCGAATAGGCGGTATTCATCTCGAGGATATTCTAGTAGCTTTGCGGGCGCCCTGTGATGATCAAAGAGATCTGTTTTATTCAGTCCCGGGTCACCAAAGGTCACCTCTTTGTGGCTTTTGTTTTGTTTGGGATCCGGCCGGCTGTGTGAGATAAAATCCGGTTTTGAATGCGTTGATTTTGACGTGGCGTCGTCCACAGAAGCAGGTCGGGAGGTCTCCTGTGTCTGAGGGCCCAACTTAAATTGGGTCGATCTGTACGCACACCAACGAGATTCTGTTTCACAATCGATGTCTCTTGACTGGCATCTGTGATCCACTGAAACACAGTCGGACAGACTCGCTGGGACTGGAGCCTTCGACCAGAATCTGTAGTTCTGAGGAGACTTTGAGTAACGAGACGCACTGGTTTGTTGAGAGAGTTTAGATGGACTTCCTGTTATCGTCCGCGTGTTGTTTTCTTCTTCAGGACTCTTGCCGTGAGACGAAAATCTTGTGTCGTCGTTGAGGTCAAAACGTCTTCTCCTGCTCTCCACATTGGGTGACTGGTTCAAAGAAGAAAAGGACATTCTTGGAGTTGTTGGTGAAGCTGCACGTCTCTCAGAAGACTTGAGTTCATAGGAGTGCTCACTGGAGGTGAGATTCCTCCTCTGAGGGAAGTCTGCACTCGGCCGAGGATCCGGCACATCAAACGCCGGCAGAGACTTCTTCTCAAAAACACGAGCAAACCTAATCCCCTCACACGCTGAGAGGGATGCTCGTGTACCTGCAGCACCGCTTGGCAGAAGTTCCTGCTGCTGTTTGATGTTTGACATCGGTTTAGGGATTGAAATGATGCTTCTTCCCCCTGGCGGAGGCCCTGGTTTATCTTCTGCAATATTTCCCTTTTCACTTAAACCAAGTTGCGATAAGCCGGAGTTCTGATGCGTGGCTGCTTGTCTCTGGAGCTCAGAGTACTTCTGGCTGTGAGACATGGGGCCAGCTCCCATCAGCGCGGTATGTGTAAAGCCCAGGAAAGTTTCTAGGTCAAGAATGTCTCGTTTGACTAACTTGGGCTCGTCTCCAGCATTCGAAATGGCAATCGATCTAGCCTGTCTCTCTTTAGCGACGGGAGACGGCTGCTTGCCTCCTCGGCTGTCCAGACTCGTCTCCTGGGAAGTCGGAGATGGACTTAGTCTGGGTGTCGGGACGGTCAGAGTCGGAGACACACTGGGCTTCGGCTGGTGCAGGGATGGAGGAGGATTGCGGAGCTGTGAGGCGGGGGGACGGAGAGAATCCTTTGGCTTCGGTTTATGAGTGGGAGAGGAATCTGTCTTTGGAGCGAGACAGAGGGAGGCGCCGGGCTTTGCGGAGAGAGCCGGAGAGCTGTGTGCTTTGGATTCGGTTCTTGGGAGCGTTGAAGCTCTATTTCCGTGGCGACCCAGTGAATCACCACTTGTTTTAGTCCAATTGGGTTGAATGGATGTCTTGGAGGGACCAATCGGGATGAAAGATCTGCTGAATGAAGCCAACTAAATTAATCCAGCACCATATTCACCATATTACAAAAACCTGAGAGTAGAATAAGCTTCATTTACCTGTCAGTGCTTGGTTTTGTGTCGCGTTTATCATAGATGAGCCCCTTTTCGTCAAATGATGGGATTTGGATGACTTTCTTTTTGATGACAGGAGACGACAGGGACAGAGGAGGAGACAAGCTCACTAATGGACATCTGGAAGATGCTACTCGAGGGTTTGCAGGTGCCAGACGGTCAGAAACACTCATTCTGTTCTATGTTGTGCACAAAGAGATGAGAATGAAAGCCTGATACAACAGATTTAGAGCATTCAGATCTTTCATTTATGTAAAAAAGATCATTACGTACACCAATAAGTAAGAGCTGCTTTGAAAATCGTACTTTAAAGCACACCTCAATATTATGTGATTATGAATAAATTACATTCTGATATTTTACTGCTGTAGCTGGTCGAGGTAGAGAGAACATACTGTTGAGTAATACTGTTGTGCATCATACAAGCAACAACAGCTGTAAATAAATAGGATTAAAAGTATAATAATTGCCAATAAAATGTAGAGGAATACAATAATGAACTTTAAAACAACTATGAGTTCAGCAGTTAACAAACTGGACTTTGAAATAACGCAGTCTGAAACCACACATGAGAAATGCATTGAGAGAAACCAACCTGCTGCCTGAAGCGGCGTCTCTGCTGTGGAGCCCGTGAGCGAGACGGGAGCCCAGCAGCTGGAAGTCGTGGGCCCCGAGGGGCCGTTCTCTCCATTCCTCCACACTGAGGCCGCTCTGTTTCACTCCCACGCGGGTCACTGTTTCCGTGGGACGACGTCTGTGCAGCCTGTATGTGGTCTTGTTGGTAGTATTTTGTCTGAGGACAACTAGTTTGTCTTAACCCGTAGGGGTCGGGGGCCCATCCAAAGGCTCACAGGATTAATCAGTAATTAGAAGAATGTTAAGAAGAAGAATGAGGAAGCGAAGGACAAAAACAAAGCAACACAAATCTGTATTTTGAGTCTCCTGCAACTTATTTGGGGTTTGTATTTACTTTTTGTGGTTAATTCTTCATTCAAAAGCGTACTTATTACAGGTTCAGATGGATGTAGTGGAATAAAGTAGGATAAGTAATCAAGTACATGGGTTAAATTATGACATATCATGACAAATTATTACTCAGATATGATCAACTATATAACATCATGCAGAGAGTGAATCTGAAGAGTCGAGGATTGAACAGTTTTATTTTGTACAAATGAAGCACATGATCACCAACAGTTTGCTCACCAGGCCGTCAGGTAAAAACTATGGAAACAAACAAAGAAACACGTTTGAGCGTCACCAAATACTTGTTTTGTGTAATCTCAGATGACCGTGGCACCATGAACAAAGTCGCTAATAACACCATTTTCTGGCATTTTGGCACTAACAATGTCAGCCTGTGATCAGAAACCCTCCCCCCAAACTGTCCACCGGTGTCATGCCCTTCTCTTCTCTGATATGAATAAACCTTTTGATTTATGCGTTACAACAACGTACGTAAAAGTTGGCACGAGTATAAGATGGCGGTGAGCTTTACACCATCACATGTCCTCCGTCCACCTGTGTGAAGTGTGCTTCTCCTTGTTGTGCGTTCCCTCACCGCAACGTGAAGTGTGCTTGAGATCAGAGGGAAGCTGGAATGTTGGGACGGAGCAATCTTCCCCACATTCCATTTCCCGTCTCCATCTCCTGGAAGGTGCTGGCTCAGCACCCCAGTCCAGATGCTGCTCTCCCCCTCCCCACCCTGCCCAGCGCCGCCTCCCCCTCTCCGTCATATCAGGGCATTTCTGTCATGGTATCTGCAGATTCACACTGCCCACCAGGGGGTGATGCGGGCCTGTCTTGCTCTTCCATTTGTGGGTTTCCGGCAGCCGGGGCTGGAGGAAGTACAGACACGTTCAGAAGCCCCCCACCACCAACAGGGCCACCAGCGGGTAGAGGGGGAGAAACCATCCCAGAAAGACCCACGACATCGTTGTTGTGCCAACAAAGGGGAGAGGGGGGGGGGGGGGGGGGGCGATGACATGATGGAGAAAGCAAAGGAAAGGAGGAGAGTTTTTTGTTAAAAGTGATCCTTCAGGATGAAGATACATCCCACGTGACACACTGCAGCATCCCAACATTTCCAGCCACACTTTGCTCATTAGAACCACGGGCGGCCTGGAATCACACAAGCTCCCAGCAGAATAGTAATAAACAGACACAGACTGGTGGGGCAATCTAACAACAGAGCACAGCAGTGTAAAGTAGGACAGAACAGCCCCTGGGCTCACCTGTCCCGGTCTCAGACGGTCTGCGATGTGCGAGTCCGAATCAAATCACCCGATCGCTTTTTCCAGCGTCGCAGCTCCAGCTCCTGCATGTGCACCTCCGAGCGGCACAGAGGCTGTATGCGGCTCCCTCCTTCCAAGCTCCTGGCTCTGACGTTCCAGAGAGGAAAAAAGAAAAAAGGAAGGAAGGAAGGGTGGGGGTTGCCATGACAACTACCCCTGCTGATGGCGGAGAGGATGGAGAGATGTGGGAGGGAAAGTTATATAACTATAATCAGTTTTTGGGGGAGTGGGGGGGGTTTGAGGAGGAGGAGCCCCCTCGACACCCGCTGCGTAAAAAATCCATTCCGTCACAGTTTATGTGACATTGAGAACAAAAAGGGAGCGTTGGGGGGCAACTGATGGCAGCTGCAGTGTTTGATGGAGTAAAAAAAAAGAAAATCCATCCATCTTTTGTCCCGTTACTACGCTGAACACAAAGGACAGGCCCCCATAAGCAAAAGCTGTCAGAAGATGGCGTCTCTTCTTTTTAATAACCGCCATTTTTAGCTTGTTCCACTTAAACGGCAGATTCACAAAAAGCAGCCGAGTGAAACAGACTTCAAAGGAAAATTGTGACACGCTAAGCGCACACGTGATGCATCGTGACGGGACTGATTATTTGATAAATGCTGGATTTTGTTCAGAGGTTTAAAGCTTTTACCAGCGTGTTCCACTGATTTAAATCAGACCTACTTGTAACACACGTGTCACACTTTATAAAGTCCTCGGTTTGTAATGTGCTCATGAGCTCAGCACGCGTCCCGTCCCGGTCCAAAGTAACCGGGTTATCTTGGTCAGTCCGAGGGCCCGAACACACAATCCACCTCTACGGATCCCGAACTCCCCCTGAACCCTGATCCTGGACCCTCAAGGATTCAGCTGAAGTAGTTGAGTGAGAGTTGAGTCTGTTGAGGGTTTTAAATGGTGTAAATATAAATAGGACACTTCAACAACACTTTTTTGACTTTTGTCAAAATGGCTTCGTTAAAAACATTTTTATATTTCATGAATAGATATATAAATTTCGTCTTGATTCCTTGATGTTTTAAATGTTTACTACCCGCACAGCATTTTGAGCCCTTACACTCATTTTTACACATTTTAAGCCCTTACACTTACAACCATTTCTGAGGTGACGCTAAATAAGTCTTTGATTGTCTTATCATTCAGTTTATCACTCTAACAAAAAGAATTTACACGAGCAGTTACTCTTTGATTGCAGTTTTGTGGATTTCCAGCAGATAATCCTTCAAAATAAAAGCCTTTTCTGACATAGTTTGAAGGGTGTATTACTGTAGACGGGCTGCAAACAGGTACTTGTTGAGTCCAAATTGACCCAATTCAACTCCGTCTTCCCTCGGCTCACTAACTTCACATCACCTACGTGTCATTTAGCTGACGCCTTTGTCCAGAGATTAACCACGAGGACGCAGCTCAAATATTAACCGCAGACTGCGGAGTAGACTTGGAAGACTCGCCTGCCGCTGTGCATTTTAAACAATCCTCACAGGCAGAAGGTACGAGGCGATGGATCAGTTGTTTGCTGATGCTCAGCAGGCTGCACTGCTGGGAAGCAGGAGAATAGAGTCCACCGGACTGAATAACCAAGGACTTTATCAGCGGTCTGTTGTAATGCAGACCGATGAAACCGCTCGGCCCTCGTCACCGAGCAGCGTTGTTTGTTAGGGAGACAATTCCATTCTGCATTTATTATGGAGGCTATAATGAAGAATTGTGTTGCATTAGACTGCATAATATCAATATGTGCCAACATGTTACGATGCAACATGTCTCATTAACCTCACATAGTCACTTCCAACATTAGCATCAAACTAGAAGACTGGTAATCGGACCTCGACTTTGATTCTTGTGTGTAAAATCTTGAGATGTATTGTAATTGAAGCAGGGCTGCATTCTTTAAATAGTGATTGACATCCTGACACCCGGTTGCAGTGAGGCAGAGGTATACTCGAGGTAAGTTCCGCCATGGTTGGGTGTAGTTACCGGTACAAAGCACCTATCCACACACTGGCCAGAGGTGAAACGTGACACCGTCAAACGTTCCTTTTAGTTAAATTGTGCGTAAAGGACTTTGAAACAGTGTTTCCATGTATGAACATCTAACGAATCGCTTTGGTCCCTATAGAGAAAATATAGGTGGTCTAATTTGCTCGTTAATCCAACATGAAGTAAAAGGAAGCGTGTATATTTAGCTCCGCGACAGGAAAAACATTTAGAGTAGCAAAGAACTGACAAACCAGCGGCTCTGGATCGACAGGTTTCAGCCGCTGCAGCTCGGCGACCCGCTCGGTGCCGGGGAGGACTTTCACTTTGTGTGACGCCAAATCCTTCACACTGAGCCTTTAGAATGTACCTGTCCAACACTTTAGTTCATGACCTCCAATTAGCCAAATTCCCTCATTAACATTTCTGCTGTTGGCATTACAGTAAAGGCCCTGTGCTGACACAGAATGTGTGCATGGTAAAAGACGACAACTGTGGTTCCGCTGCCTCAATTTTAAACATGAATTTAGTCATTATTTATCAACTGTGAATCTGGAGCTGTACAGGATCAGACCATTAACGAAACAAGTTACAAATTCTAACTATTCGCTGCTCAAATCTTAACTGTTGTGTTACACAAGTGTCATTTTCTTCAAATGCATAAACATCGGTCCGCCAGCATTCCGTCAATATATATTAAAATACACCAAATCATTTACAGGTTGAAGTGTTCAGAGCACAGTATAATTACTGTAGTACTGTGTTATATTATTACAAACACATGGTGGTAATGTGAAGATTCTGTTTGGGCTACATCTTCGAGGTCTGTTCTTTGGCTTGTTTTGCCGGCTGAGTCAACACTTTGGTCATCAAGAAGTCGGACACAAGTGGAGCGACTACCTCCGGGTTGTTGAGGTGGATGTGATGATCGCCTGGTATTTTTACCACCTTGTGCTGAAAGACAGACAGGAAATATTGACGTTCTGCAATGATTAACTTTGCTGGAAACCTGTCTGCAGCAGAAACAAGTGGTTCACACAATGCAATAATAAGAATATTTACACATCCAGCACATCAGGAATCACCGAGTTGTGTGTTTGTGTGTCCGGTCAGATCATCAGTCTAATGTCGTCTCTCCTTTAGCTCAGATTTTGGTCGCCACCAACTCCCTGATGGAAATCTCCCTCTCTATCGCTACTAAATGCTCCACCACGTTCCCCAGTTACTCGAACTGTGTTTGCCGTTTGCTGGAGGCCATTTCTGTGTTTAAGGGCGTTGAAAACTGAACATCTGAAAGCCACTAAAAGAGAGTGAACCAGAAGAGCGGCAACAGCTAAAAGCAAAATGAGATAAAAGCTCTGTTGGGCTGCAGGAGCTGCAGGTTCAGGAGATGACAAACTGCATTTATCCTACATTATACACAATAAAAACCATTATCTTCTGACGTAGCAAGCTTCTCTTTTGCTGCACAGCAGCTGGCTGCGTTCCTATCATCTCCAAGTTTATTTCTGTTCTGTTGACCACGCTGCAGTATGTAGGTCAGCGCCGAGGTTCCCTGCTACAAAGAGCTGTGCTGCCTCCAAGATATTGAACGACTCCGCTACTTTTGCATCTGTCTGCCTACTAAAGCCCCAATTACACACAGGCCTAACGGCTAAACACGGACATGAAGCGTACCTGCACAAACACGCTGTAAACATACTCACGTTTCGGTCCTTGTAGGCCTGGATGATTGTTGAGAAAACATTCTTATCCTCTCCAACAAATAATTTTTCAAAGCCGTCCTCTGCTCTGATAAGACAAAGAAAAGGGCAGGTGTATTTTCTACTGTTGAACTGGAATTGGTAGATGGAATAACGAATCTGGGAGGAAGAATTTACAAAACTTACAAAATAACAAGCATGGGAGCTTTTATCCCAGAATGCAACTGCAGGCTTTGCTCCAAAGTCATGCGGATTATATTTTTCTGAAAACAAAAAGAGCAAAACATCTGCACACGGAATGTAAGGGCTGCGCACAATGAACGGTTCAGTGAAAACCTACCAGATTGATACGGAAATCCCGGGTAAACGCCACGCCTGCAAGAGACACATGCCTTCCATCATCAGCGTGGGAACAAAGACGTGTTCTAAGAACAACGGGGTTCGCCAAAACAAGGATTAAATGAATGTGGAGGCGTACCTCCTTCAACTTGAACTAGACCTCGCTCTAAAAGGATCCGCACGGACTGCTCCGACAGAGACGGGTTTGCAGCCGACAGCCTGAAGGAAACGGGAAACGATTTGTGGACGTTTGGTCGTCTGTTAAATACAACGTGAAGATGCCACACCTCTCTACTGCGCCTTCGTAGGTGTAGACTCTTTTCTTCTCCTCTGCAGTCTGTTTGTCAAACTGGAGCATCTCATCCATCCCCTGCCTCATGGGTTGGTACATCTTTTTCTTTAAGAAAAAAGTAAGAAGTGAGGGATTGTCCATTGAAAACCTCGTGAAGGCAAAAACATGATGAATGCTGAGCAGCCAGACAGAGGACAGGACGGAGTCTTCAACATGTCAGACTGGCTTTGCGTTATTCTGCGTTTACCTGCAATGTAGAATATCATTAGTCATCGTGAGGAAGCCCTTTAATGGAAGTCTCAAACCGATATGACCTTTGGGCCCACAATAGTCAAGCTCTGATAATCGGTGGCATCCCGGCCTCCTCTCCTCTGCAGTACTGCTCTACAGGGTTAGTGACCCCAGGGTTTCTGCCAATTCAATTAAAGGCCATAAAAGAGCATCGATTACCCGTTTTGTGATCCTTCGGGGAAAAGTATGATTGAAAGCCAGTGGGGACGATAGGACCTTGAATTCTGTATCGTTTTTTAATTCCAACACGCAAGAGTTCGCCTCCGCAAATCATACTTCCATGTCATAGGCGTGAAACAATGGAATAATCTCCCAACAGTAGTAATAACATCCAAAATAATGTATTTCTCCAGGGAAAAAAGCATTGTTCACTCAAGAAGCAAACTTCATTGCTTGCTTTTTCATTAGTCTAGAAAAACATTACATCTCTTGTAATTACATACAAGTTTACTTTCCTCTATTCGATTATATGGGTCTATGCTTGGCTTCAGGTTTTGTTCACCGTTGAACAGATTGATAGTGATCAGATTTCGGGGTTAACAATTAGCTACAGTACAAGAAAATAGTTCAACATGTACCGCTCTGAAACCTGTTAGCAAATAACCCAAATGACCTCTGTGCAAGTACCTGATCTATCGGGAAGAATCCATAAGAGTCCAGCAGCACGACAGCCTCCACCATCTCGGGATACAGAGAACTGAACTGTACAAAACACAAGCGGGACTAAATACCACGACGCAGCAAAACCGCCTCCACAGAGTCAGTCTGTGTGTAGCGGCAAGAGCATCACGCCAGGACACCGTCGCTTACCGTTCCAGCAATGTTACCACCTGAAAAAAAACCCGCAAAGTGTGTTTGTACTGTAAATATAACACAATTCACATTTTAAAGGTGCCAACACTACTGCGGAGCTGCACTCACCCATACTGTGGGCAATGATGGAGAAGCGGCTCCACTGCAGAGCTGTGGGAGTCACGTCACACATTACAACCAGATTCAGGGTCACATCACAGAATACTGGTTTGTAGTCGGCAGACCTCGGCCCTGCTGCGGTTTAACTGCGCAACAGATGCACTAAAGCCGGGTGGTAGAATTAGAATATAATCACAATAGTGACGCTTCCGAAGGTTTAACTCGATATTTCTCCTCACCCGGAGAGCAAACCGAGGTTTGATTTGAATTTGTGGCTTTAAGATGTTGTGCAATCGCTTGGACTCACTCACAATCGACGACCCTTCGGATGTCCATCACGTACGTCGGAGGAGTGTAGAAGACCCCGGGGGGACGATGCGACGACAAGCCGTGACCGGCCAGATCCACCGCCACGTATCTGCACTCTGACAGGACCCACAGGGAGGAGTGCTCAGTCTCACAGATGAACAAATACCTAGAATAAACTAAGGAAATGCAACATTCTCTACAGCAAATAGCCGTTCAAATGAATAAATGTGGGTCAGTAATCAGGAGAAGAATTAGTCAGACCGGAGAGCTTCTTGTGCCTTTTATGGTTTGATTAAATAGCTGAGAGGATTAAGCAGCAATCAAGGGTTACCATGGTGATGGTGAGCGAGTCCTTGGTAAGACGGTTTATTTTTTTAGGAATTAAAAAAAGTAAATAGAGTTGAATTAGAACATAATTGAAACACATGAAACGGTTTCAATTCTTAACATCTCTTCCCTCATAACGATGCAGTTCCTTCAGGAAATGTGAAATACTTCTGAATGTATAAAAGTAAAGAAAAAGAATGTCCTGAATGTCCTTCCCACGGAGTGGCAGCTTGGATCGAATGGAATGAAAACGTACGTGCACATTAATAACTACAGTGTGGGATCAGCTGGGTTCACCTTTGGGCAGGAGGGGAATGAGGGTGTTGAAGGTGCCACAGTTGTCGGACCAGCCGTGCAGGCACAGCACAGGGCGACCATCATCAGGACCCCAGACTCTCCCTCTCAGCTGTCCCCAGGGAACCGGGATGGACAGCTCTGAAAGTGGACACGAGACATTCTGCTTGCTGTGCACACAAACAGGAGCTGCTGCTCCGCTTCACGTCGCTATGGGTCCAAAACGCACGCGCAGAGGTGTTTTCTGCAGGTTCAGTAAACCTGAACACTGTGCAGCCAAGCAGGCGACCCGTCAACGGACTCCCTGAGAGCTGCGGTGTCCTGCTCACATGGTCTGTGGCAGCTTCCACTTCACGGCGTCCAGGTTTACTGGATCGCCAGAACAACAGAAGCGCCGATGCGGAACAATGGACCTTGTACCGGCCTCAGTCTGCGGCCCGCGCACACAGACGTGAAACAATGTGAAAGTCATCGTTTAAAACACGTTAGTAAACAAACATTAGCACGTAGTTTTATAAAGGTACCTGCTCGTTTCATTGCGCTGATGTTCAGGTGCCTGACGCCCTTCAGAGCCTGCAACATGTTGGACAACACTCTAACAATCCACTTTAATAATAAACCTGCACGAGTGACGAAATATCCTTTAACTTGAGACTTACACTTTCCAGCCAACCGCCTTCAAGCTCAATGCCGGCTTTTCCGTGCTGGGAGAGGCCACGTGACGCTGGCTAAAGATGCTATTGGATGAAAGGTCATGGAGCTATTTTCTGGACCAATCATCTATACGAGTGGGAGGGCTTAAACTTTTGCAGGAAACCCAACAGACGGGTGTTTTTCTCCGATTTACTGTTCGTGAACAGTGAAGACGGATAAATAACCATTGTACGACACTATAATATTATAAACAAATATAGAAAACGACACTAGGAATCTCAAATATGCATACAAGTTTAAATAAACGATAAACTTAAACTCATTTACATGGGAACTGCATGAGGAGAGGGAGGCGGGCTACATGCCTTAGCGAGATGAAAGATAAAGAAATTAAATAAACGACCCCGTCAATACATTTTTGGAAGAATAGTTATATCTTAAGTCAGTAAGTCTGAGGCACATTCTGTTCTGAGTCATTTACAAATCAAGTATCTTTGATACAAGTGCAATTTCCTCAAATAAGCCAATTTACAATTTGCTGTAGATGAGTGACGTTACAAGTACAATTTAAGTGCTACAATTTGTTAGTCTTTAGTCGAGGTAGAGTCTGAAGAGGTGTGTCTTTAGTTTGCGGCGGAAGATGTGAAGGCTCTCTGCGGTCCAGATGTCTTCAGAGAGCTCGTTCCACCATTTCGGCGCAAGGACAGCAAAGAGTGGTGATCTAGTCGAGTGTTTTGCTCTCAGTGAGGGAGGGACGAGTAGTTTTGCAGATGCAGAGCGGAGAGTGCGGGTTGGGATGTCTGGTTGGACCATGTCCTGGATGTAAGCTGGACCCGATCCATTCACAGCACGGTACGTGAGCACCAATGTTTAGAACTGGATGCGGGCGGCCACCGGTACCAGTGAAGAGAGCGGAGGAGTGGAGTAGTGTGGGAGAATTTCAGAAGGTTGAAGACCAGTCGAGCTGCTGCATTCTGAATGAGCTGCTGAGGTGGAATGGTGGTGGCAGGGATGGTAAATGGTAAATGGTAAATGGCCTGTACTTGTATAGCGCTTTTCTAGTCTTCTGACCACTCAAAGCGCTTTAACACTACATGACATCATTCACCCATTCACACCCATTCATACACTGATGACAGGAGAACCACACACAGTGACACCTGCCATCAGTAACTACCATTCACACACTGTAGTCGCAGCTACAGGAGCAATGGTGGGTTAAGTGTCTTGCCCAAGGACACAACGACATGCGGGTTAGCCGGGCCTGGGATCGAACCCACAACCCTCTGATTGGAGGACGACCGTGCCAGGAGGGAGTTGCAGTAGTCCAGGCGGGAGATGACAAGAGCCTGAACATCCCTCCTCACGCGAGGCCAAAAGAAATACCTGAGGACGTAGTCGTACGTCTTTCAAACTCCCAAATGCCCTTAAAAAACCTTCTCCAACAACAAATTATCTTCCAGCAGAGAACCCTTGGCAGCCCTTTTCCATCCATCCTGGGGAGCACTTGGTTGAACAGCTCTCCAAGTGCAGGATCGGCCCGTTGCTCTGCGACCTAGTCACTGCAGTACATCCGAGCCCGTTCCCCACATCAGGGTATATTCCCCAGTGTTGGACCTTTGAGGGAAAAAGACAGCACATCGCTCACAATGAATGATTTAAAACCCCCGTTTCTCTCAGTATTTTTACCTGAGAAAACAGACTGTCCCAAACTGTAATCCACTCCAGGTTCCACCTGCTCGCACAAAGGAATAACAGACGGAGCAAATACGCAACTGACCTTTCGGACCTGGACAGCTAATGCAACAGATTGAATATGTGCATTACTAAACTCACTCGTAAATTGTCTTAACAGGGCTCTCAGCTTTCCAATGTCGCCTCCCCTCACGGTAATCAGATTGGTCACCAACCTCAGCTCGCAACTGACCACGTGTCCTTTCAGGCTCATCATGCCGAGGGCCGGCTTCCTCCTCCCACCGGATTCTTGTGGGATGAAAATAACCACCTGTACAGAGCATCATCCCGAGGTCTAAACTCACGGAACCCCAGAAGCATCAAATCGCATAATGAATGAAATTCCAGTGAAGTACAGAAACGGCTGAAATGAGGCGTCGACTCCCTGGAAAACTCCACGTGTCCCAAGACCTGAACCTCCGGCGGTATGTCTCAGGCAACAACGCCTTACATGTCAGAATGCACTGCAAAGGTAACGTGCAATCAGCATCTAACCAGTTTCTACTCTCTGCCAGCCGCCCAAACAGCAAAGAAAAAAAGGTATCTGGGTCCTTATGGATTAATTGTAACATCAATGTGAAGGCCCAACAGAGACCAAGTCACCCCATTCTCACTCCCCAACCTGTGTCATAACCAACCGCTACTCCAGCCGAACTCCAGCGTCCCACCGGGTCGACGAGGACTGGACGAGCCCCCGCGTGTCTCAGAGACAGCAGCAAAGCAGGGGGACGAGCGAGCTATGTGGTGGAAGATTTTGCACAGACAATCGTTAAGTAAGAATCAAAGGCTCTGAGTCAAGTATGTCTTTTCTCCGTTTATTTCCTTGCAAGGGAAAAAGGGTCACAACAGCTACGTGGTCAGTAGACTGTCAAGAACCTCTTTTTTCCTCCCAACACCTCGAGGCAGTTCTTATACCTAAACTTAGATATCGGTGGCGTCAACAGAGACCGTTAACCATCTTGTTGAGTCTCTACAGCCAGGGTACTGGGAACACCTTGCGGATGTGAGACACGTCAGTTCTTTGACCGTGTCCTTGCTCTCCCAACATGCTTAAACAAAGGTGGTCATAGACATAACAAACACTTTGTTCAGTCTCTACAGCTATGCCGCTGGAAACATCTCATCCAAGTGGGAGACATCAGTTCGTATGTCAGGGCCTTTGTGATCTAAGCACTTGCAACTAATAAACTGGTTATACAAATGAAGCATTTAAAAGGGTCACATATCATTTTCCCATTACATTCCACTCTTTTGATTACATAATAATCACAAACTATGCAATCAATTTAGAATGACTACTCTGAAATTCACTAGCTGATATCTACCACATCAAATATCACAAAACATGAACATCTGGACATCGCTCACAAAACTTTTCCTGCCACAGAACAAAAACTCCCTAAAAAAACCCTCCGAAATGGGAAAATAGGAAGAAATCTGTTAGGAGAAGATAAAGACTGGAAACCTTCTCACAGGATTTGAGCGTTACACCCCAGATGTCATGTGTACAGTATTGAAATAAAAAAGAAATGAGAACATGTTTAAATCACAATACCAGAACTTGATCCCCTTTCACACAATACAGATATAGAATATTGTGGAAAGGTCATTATATCAATCATATTTACGTTACATACTAATAAATGCAAGGATAAAAGCTGTTTTTGTGAGAATGTTATTTCTCATTGTTTTAGCAAGCTACTGTGAAACAAAAAACATTTAGAACACCAGGAATGCACACAGACAGTGTGTCACTATGTCACTATGCGTATGTGTCGAGGTCGTAAGTGTTCAGCTCGTCAAGGGAGTCCGGGTCACTGTTGGGGTTATTGTCAGAGTCGCGTCTAGGGAACAAGTTTGGTGGTGAGTCATCAGGTGACCCCAGGCTGTACATAGCCATTTGTTTCGCCAGGAGTTGGGCAATCGTATGACGGATCAATGGGATACCGCAAATTACGAATGCGAAGAGAACACAGAGGATAGTAGCTGCTTGTATTAGTGTTCCTTTCCATGAATACCACACCCGTGTGAGCCAATCTGGGGAGGGAGATTTATCTCTTGTCATAGATTCCTGAAGTTTTGTCATGTTTTGTATCGCCTGATGGATTATGCCTTCGTCTTTGTCATTCTCAGGGATAAACGTACAGCAATATTCTCCTACGATAGCACAAACACCTCCTTGGGCAGCGGTCAATTGGTCTAGTACCATGCGGTTCTGCATAATCATTAAACGCATGGCGGTCATTTCCTCGCGAATACCCTTAAGGCCAGCTAGAGTCATGTTTACAAAGCTTTTGAAACGGTAATCAACGGTTTCAAGTCGTAGCGTGTTTTTTCCCACTCCTGTCCATGGAAACAGTCCCCACAAAACTTTAACTGACGTACTGGCGTGTTTGAACTCGTCAGGCACATCGCTGCCCCAGATTGAGTTGTGTGGCGCAAAATTGACTTCCGGGTTAAGGCCAGTGTCCAATGCGGCCATTCGTTTTGTTCGTTTGCTTGTCCCTGTTGTAGCTGTGAGAATAAAAGTATGATCAGTAACGCGAACAGGAGTACATATTCCGCTCCACTGAGGGGGGAGAGACACGCGGAGGGTGGTGCCACACAGCCACCATCCCTCGGTCACTGGATAAGTACCGTTCTTCCCAGGGAGGAAAGTGAAATGGAAAACAGAACAATTAACATTGGGCGGGCAATCTCGTGGATTTACTGGAGTGAAAGTCCAGCCAGAACATGACCATTTTTGGAGATGAATGGGCACTTTTGCGGCCCTTTCTGCAGTGCCCTTAGCTTGGCAAAAGCTCCTGTTGTGGTTTTTGGCGCAGTCGTTTCGGAAAGTTGGGAAATGGTCTTTATTGCAATTTAAATCATTAAACGCATGGTTTCCTGCAATGAGGATCGTGTCACACCTTGCAGGGTCTGTTTTCCCCACTGGATGTGTCCCATCACGAGCATAGCAGAGAGGAAACCGTGTTCGGCTTTCCTGAGCCTGGAGTGCGAATGTAGACGTTTGGCTAGCCGTGTATCGTTTGATATCGTGAGATTGTGCACAGTCCAAATCATCTATTGTTTCCCATGGGGATAACTCATAAATAAACAAAGAATCTTTGTCGCTATCGTTGGATATATACAGGACTATGGGGGGCACATACCACCCACTAACCGAGAGCCCGCAGAAACATCCTTCAGACTTCCCCAGGGGGGCTACGGCTAGCCGTGGTTGATTAGTGCTGATGGGTAGCGGAGAACAAACGTAACAGTCGGA